TTTTTTTTTTTTTTTTTTTTTAAAAAAATTTCCTTTTAAAAAAAAAAAAAAAAAAAAAAAACTGCGCCCGACTGGAGAAGCCTCAAAGGGAGAATGTCTGACAAATGATTGCAGGTAACAGCAGAAAAAAAATTGAAAAATTATTTTGCTCTAAAGCACTTTGGTTTGCTAATTTAGACTTGATCAGTTTATGTCAAAGCACAAACACTACGTATTTTGACTATTTATGGTTTATATTTAATAAAGCTTCCTGTCTAAAGATGTCTCTGAATAAAAGAGTCCAAATGTCTCTGTAGTACATAACTGTTTTCTCCCAAGAGATCTTTTGAAAAATTTACAATCAGAATGCAGAAGAAATTACTTTTCATTATTCCACATATGCAAACTTACCGCTATTCAGAGGTGGTGTAGGTAAACACTGTTAATAACTGCTTCTGTATTTATCTTCCATCACCTGATCTACTTTTACAAATTGTTTCAGAGAAACCAATTTGGTGATTATGCATTGTGTGCATTTGTCCAGCCTATGAAAACATATTGGCCTTAGCGTAATAGCTTTATGATATCACTATGTAGGAGGCCACATTCCCTCACATCACCAACTTCAATAGTTTTTGCTCAGCAGTGTGTCAGAGAAAAGAGTCTGCCCTACCAAAGGTCTGGAATCATTTGTTGGCAGTATGCCGTATATGAAAAGGACTACATCAATTTTAGAACTGCAAGCTGCTTACCTTTGCTTTGAACATTGAACTGGCAAGGTTTATTTAAATAAAAGGTTTTAGTAAGTACAGCAAGTTTCTGAACATGTTTGCTAACTCATTGCAGATAGAACTAAATGCTTTCCCACTGCCACAAATGCACACAAATATTCTAAAGGCAGGTACCTTTTCCCTACAATTGCAGAAAAAGCACCACAGAAATTCTATTAAATCCACATCTATATTCATAGGTTCATAATATGTATAAGATATATAAAAATGAGGTCTTTAGCATGAGAGAATCCATTGTTTCATTCAATCTTGTCTGTCAAGCTTGCCATCTTTTATCAATTTTACTGTAAGTTGTTTAATTGTGAGCCATCTGGCGTCATTGGGAGTCAGGCAACACTCACGTTTGATAAATTATTACCTTCTCCAACTAAGCCTTAGGGAATCATTTGACTTTGTATATAATTAGATTCAGTCAATATATTAACCCAGGTTATCATACCCTTGATGATATCTTCATATAGCCTACTATGCCTTTGCAAATAAACCATGATAACCTGACACATAAAAAGATAATTCAGTTTCTGTAGCCTGCTTGAACTACCAAGGATCCAACTATATTCTAGCCTAGAGCAGTGCCCTCCTAATTTTTTTTCTTTCGTTACACAAAACTGTTTATCAGAGAATCTTTTTTATCCAACATAGGTAAATACTTTAATTTAAATGTCCCTGTTGTGATTAGGTAATAGGTTCGTGTGTCATTACCAAAGAAAAACCACATTTACCCAATTTGAGATAATTTGCTGTAGTCTGAAAAGCGCTGACCTGGCCCTAGAGTAATATGTGAACCAGTTATAAGCAGCTGCAGGACAGCATGATACACTTAGCTGCTTTTTCACTTCATGGACACGATTGACAGCTGCCAAGGAACAATTATGTCATATTGCCATTCAAGCACTGATAGGAAGGTCTGACTTCCAATGGGCAAAAAGTTACACTACTACTTACTTCACCTCTGCAATTGTTTCTGAACATTACTAAATCAACATTTGGAAGTGTGTCAAGGCCAAATTAAACAGCAGCATAGGAAAAAATAAGGCACAACAGTTCCCAGGAGACAATATACAATTTTGTATCACCCTAAGCCTAAATGTAATGGTTTCCCTACAACTCTGGAATATAATCCTGTAATCCCACTCCATATTTTAATGTTGAATTTGAAAAATTGATTTTCAGTCATTGCACACATGCAATGCTTTCAGCATAGAACATGTAATAATTAAGTCAGTTCTAATCGGGCAGCAACGATAAATGATTAAAATACGGGAAAGGAGGAAATTTATCCATGTTGTAGCAGCTCCAACATAAACCAGGTCCTGCAATCATACTTTACAAATAAAACAAGAACAATAAGGAGGGACTTTCTGACAATGCAGGCATTGTAGACGACAATAATCTGTATGGTAAATAAAAGTCCGTCATTATGTCAAGGCACAGTTGCAGCTCTACTGCATGGTGTGAGGTTAGTGAAGGGGGAAGAAGATCTAGTTCTTATTAACTCCAGAAGACAAACACACACAAGAGACTGACTCTGTAACAGCAGATCTGTTATGAAGAGAGTTGCATTGATTTAAATATATTACATACATTTCTGTAGTGCATAAGAACAATACATTTCAGTTCGGACTGGCAAAAATGTAAAGTATTTCCAAGTGCCAGCTTCTGCCTGCCACTTCTAGCAAAATGCAGGAAGCTGTCTCTTGAGCCAGCAACACCAGAGAAAAAGAGGTCCTACATTCAGCATATCAGGATTTTATTTAGAAGAGGCAGGAAGCTGGAATTAGTAAAAGGTCTCTTCTTGTCGGTCTGGGAAGCAGCCAAATAGCCAACTGGGAAACATATGGAAAATTTCAAATAAGTTCTTGTTGCCAGAAGTTCAGTACAGTAGCCTGTGAGAAGCAGCAATCACTCTATCGTTCCACTGTACATAGAACATCATCTTGATATGGTAGAAATTCTACCTTCCTCTTACAATTCTCTACAGCCCTGTAGAGGACATCTCCCCATGTCAGCATCCATAGAGAATTTCCCTCCCCACTTCCCTCTCCCTACAGATTGTCAATGCTCAAACCAGCCCAATGGAACTTCCACACCATTGCCTCTGGAATAGCCTCTCTTCTCTCCTAAATCAGCCAGCATTTCTAGAAATGAGAGACAGCTATTGCTTACTCTTGGGAATACTATAAATGTGTCCAAAATGCTAACCCAAGATAATAGTGGTAGGTATATAACCTCTTATTCGCTTGCTCTAGGATTATGTGGAGCATGAATGTACGAGCTTGGGATGGATAATTTAAAACCAAATTAAAAACTAGTATCTGAGGCCCTTGGTCTTAGCCACATATGAAGAATGGGAAGCACACTGCTTAATTTTTGCTCTATGGTTGTCTTGCAGAATCTGTCTGCTTATTATTTATCCTAAGTGGAATTGAAACTGTTACGTTTGGCTTTGTTCCAATCCTCAATAAATTACTTTATATCAGATTAAATTCTGATTATAGCCACATTTCCTATTGAACAGCCCCAAGGCATACACCCTAGGAGCTTCTCCATAGGACAAGAGAAACAGCAAATCCAGTGGGGCAGGAAAACCTGCTTTCAACAGGAATAATAAATGTGCAACAAGGAAGGAAGGAACAAGGCTGGCAGTGATACACAGTGAAGTGCTTCCATCCAATTTGGATTATCCCCTCACCACCAGCCCTTCCTTGTAGGAGACCTTATGAGACGTCCATCCAAATAAACATTAGAAGGATATCTTGAGATAAAAGGGCATGGCATGCAGGCTCCTGCTAGGAAATGCTGTCGTGCTTGGGCTGATGATAAGACATGTCCAGCCCAAAGAGAGGGCAGCAGCAATCAGACCAATGAACATCCCTTGTTTCTCACAGGGAACGTGCAAAGTTGAGATTGACCCTGCTTACATTCCCGACCATCTACAGCAGGTAACCTCAGTCTGGAGGGTTGGTTGCCTGCTCTCAAATGGTGCCCCCTGTAAGTTCTTCACTGAGAATAGAGGCAACTGCTACCACCAGGTAAAGAAGGGCCTGCGGCTCTGGAAGCTTTGTGTATATGATTCACTGGCAGAGCGTTGATGGGAGCGAGCAGTCTCTACAATAACAGGAGGCATCTGGACCAAGTTAAGAGGGCTCTTCCCATCTTTCAGGGCTTGCATCAAGTTCAGGATCTAGGAATAAAAGAAAAAAAAACCTGAATACCAAAGTAATGTATAAATGGTAAAAATTGCCCAATGCCCAACACAGGTTCCATCTCTCCAGTGGGACTAAGTACATACCTGACCACGCATTACTGCAATCTGCTTATGAAATTGGCCTCGGTCGAAACCTGGATCTTTCTATAAAAGAAATAGTATATCTAATTAGGATAGGTGTGACATCTACATCACTGCTCCTTAGAGAAAAATAGATGCCTAATATTCCAATATTAAGTTGCTCTTGTGGTTACCTTGAAGAGTTCATAGAGATCTTCTTCTAGATCTTTGACAAAATTAGGGTCTGAAATCTTTGGCAGAATAAGATCCTTGATCTCTTGAGAGAATGGCACTTTGGCCTGTGGCAGCCATGCCCAATAGAAAGGATCTTGTGAAGGAAGAACAAACAGAAGGCAAAAATTAGGCTCATAAAGCCAGACTAGCAATAAGGGTAGCATAGATTCAAGTACAAAGGAAATATTTCAGGACTTAACACCCCGGACTTATTAAAGAAACATCAAGAAATTAGCCCTTCACAAACATCTATACTGAGAAAAAAAACATACAAATGAACTTGTATGGCTTCTCTTATTTGGAGTACTTACATGCTCTCCAAGAGTCTGGATGCTTAAGAGGGAA